CTCTTTTTCCAAAGTTTACATGGGTGTTGGTGAATATCTTGGTCTAGAGCCATTTGCAGTTTTTATGTATTGATTCACATTTTCTCTACAGGTTCAAGACATGACATAGTTTAAGTGTCTAATGTTATTGGAGGCTAACATGTTTGTGATCCCAGTTGCTACTCCTTGCCCCTTCCCTCCGCTACTCTCATGTGGGCTTCCCCTTCCCCCCTTGCCAGTCCCCCTCTCCCAAACCTCTCATATTTATTCACGCCAGCTCTCGTCATATTCATCTCTGAGGACCGTGCCTGCTGCTAAATAATGAAGCGGAAGTTGCAGCCTGAGGGAAGGCCCGCAACACTCATGAACGGCAAAATGTGCAGAATAGCGCAGGTCGCGGCCTGCAGTCCCAGCGGCGCACCTGTCCTCCCAGCTGAGCTGAGCGCGCCGCCCGCCTGTGTCTGTTTCCTTGCAGTCGGCGCGGGGTCCATGGCCAGGCCGGCGAGGCCCCCCGGGCGGCAGGGGAAGGCACGGGGCCCGGGGGCGGCCCTGGGGGCGGAGGGGGTGGCTTACGCGCTGCGAAGGACAGGCGCCAGCAGCCGCCCCATCCGGCCGGGGCCGCCCCCCGGGGCCCGCCGCCCCCCCGCTCCCGGAGCCGCCCCCAGCAGGACCACCTCCGCCAGCTCCCGCTCTCGCTCGCAGCGCGTCTCGCGGAGCAAAGGTATTCCTCCTCACTGAAGGCGTTGCAGCGCATGCTGTCCGAGCGGCTGGCCTCGGCGCGGAACGGCGCCCGCAGGCCCTCGCTGTAGTGCACTGTGCATGCCATCCCGGCCCGGGGCCACTAACCCCCTCTGCAGAGACCGAAGCTGTGCATGAATCCAGCCGCTCCTGGCCCAGGAATCCGGTACGCCTGCCTGCGAGGGCCTCTCGCCTGGTGCCCCACCAAATACCTAGAAATTAATCTCATACAATCATAAAAGAAAATAACAACAGTTTGTTAATGAAAACCGTAAGATTGTCATTGTCTAGCAATCTCAATCTCATAACGATCCTCGATAATTTGTAACGAGTCTCTGATATCCACGACTTCTTTTTTATAATCACATTCTCGTAATGATTTAAAAGTACCCTATACGCAAATTATATTTTTCTTATCTTCTTTGCAAATGGTGTGGGCCCTGGCATGCTTGTCTGTGAGTCAAGTGCGGATATGTGAAGGGGTGACGATACGCCAACTAAAAAAAAAAAAGAAAACTGACCGATTAGTAAAGTAGCGCCTCGGTGTCAGCCTACCCCGAACACGCAAAGGTGTGTCGGTGTTGGCGCAGCGTGCGAGGAGCGCCCGTCTCCTTTTTAGTTTTGCAAATTTCCAGAAAAAAATCCGAAAACTTCCTGTCAAATAAGGCAAATTTTCGAACAAACGGATAATTCCCGGGGTCTGGAAAATTTTCTCACTTTTCCGTTAATTCTCCTTATTTTCCCGGAAATTTTACGGAAAATTTCCAGGACTTCCAACCCTACTCCTTTTGGGGGGTCGGAACCTGTTGGCTCGGCCACGCACCGCCTTTTGTGTCTTTCTACGATATCGACCACCCCGCCCGCTGCGCGAGCTGCTGCTTCACCCCGTGCGTCACGCAAGCTTCGGTGATATCGCGTCGGGGCCGCGACCGGGCCCAGGCCCGGTGGCATCGTCTACATACCGGGTCGGTCGCAATAAACTCGAATTAAACTTCACCTTTGTCGCCCTGACTTATGGCAGCCCGCGTAAACCTTCACACATTCACGACTCAATAACATTTCCGTTTTGCCCATGACTTATTTACAAATGTTTCTTACTCACATGTTGTTTTTCCCTCCCAAAATTTTAATTCTAAAAGTTTTTTGGCAACTGCATGCGACGGGTTGATTCAGCATGGTGTTTTGGTGGAGTGGAGTGGCATGCGACATTAACATGCACGTGTCATCGCCAGGGTGGCCCGTGGCCGCGCACACTCCGTGCCCCTCCATGGACGACTCGATACTGATACTAATTATATTTCCATTGTGTGTTTGTTGCTGATTCACTAACCGAAGTGTGACATGTGTGGTCGTGGTCGTTCTTTAACCAGATTGATTTGCAAGTTTTGTTGAACCTGCATGATTCCCTCATCGTCTTCCATAGGGGCCGCAACCCCTGGGTGGACGGCAGCCTGACTTTGGTTTTGCCTGAGGCATGTGTGCTAAAACTTATGGGTAGTGCACACCCAGAGAATCTTTATTTTGAAAACATAGGTTTCATTGATTCAAGAAAATTTTTGTAAGCATGAAAAAGACTGAAACAAAGAAAATTCCCTTGTTTCAAAACTACTGTTTTGAACTACTGTTTGAAAACTTTTTTTAATACAAAGCATATGCAGACTTGAATCAACACAATTCAATTTGATTTGGAAATAAATCAAAGCAACCTTTGCGATTAAAATAAAGATAATCGAGCCTATGTCAGGGAAATGCGTTTTTGAATCTAATCTTGTGTTGGAATATAATAATCTTTTAAAAGTGTGTTCCTGTAATTTTCGTCGATCCAATGAGATTTCCATTGAATAAAACAAAAGCCATGGAAAAACGCATTAATTCAAAGAAGCGATTCTCTAGTGTGAGTGGAGCAGTGGGGTACCTATCAACGCGGTGCAAGAGAGATGCTGAGTTCTTGCTTCCCGCTGGGTAGGGCGGGGCATTTCCGCGCAGATCGAGGTGCTCAGACGATGTCGGCCCTAGGAATCGTCCAGAAAGTACGTCGGTTTTTCTCAGATCCATTCGGCAAATTACGGCAGCTCGGCGCCTGCAAACCTCGGGGTAGGCCACCCGGCAGTGCACGCATGCACTGCAGGCGAGATATTGCCTACCGGGCAGGCGCTAGGAGAACTTGCATAGGCTAGTGTTCATCACTTTTTCCCCGACTCGAGTTCGTGTTTGGCTCCTCTCCGGACGCATCGGGTCGGTAGGTCCCTGGTCGCGGCGCGGCGAATATTTTGCGTCGGGGATTTGTGCAGGAAATAAGGAGTTGGTGGCTGGGTAGTGGTCAAAAAAGGTCTGTTTCGTACGGAGCATGTTGTAATAATCGCTGCCCAGCAGCAGCAAGGAAGCCAGCGATACTGTACTGCACGCAGGCGTGCGGGCGTACGGCCTACTCGCACGGGGCCGCGAGCAGCACCGGCGCGAACCGGCCCCGGCTGCGAGCGCCGCGCAGGCTGTACACTCGGGCTGCAGGGCGATGTTGTTGTGGGCTCAAAGCTGGTCACGGGTGAAGTGACGAGGGGTGGGGGTATGAAGGGGTGGGACTTTATCGGGTGCAGACGGGGTTCGGCATGGAGGAGGGGGCGGGGAGAGGGGGGCATGTTCGGCTTTATTATGTTGTCTTTCCCACGACGTCATGCCCCGCCCCCGCTCGGTCCGCCCCCAACGCCCCCGAGGTTCCAGCGGTGGCCACGGTGCGCCCGCCTCCGCTCTTACTGGGGAGCAGCCTCCCCGACCCGCCGCCCCCAGCCACCACTTAGAACCTTGCGACGACAACCCTGGGGCGCTCCCGTCTCCCTCCACCGCATGGCAGGGACTCTTGCTGTTAGTTGAGGGTCTGGTCAGCGGAGGTCTAGCAGTGTGTAGGGTGGGGGGCGGAGCGAGGGCGGATTGTGCAGGGGTTGGAGACAGCGGGACTGTGTCATGCCGTCCAGACGGCCGGTGTCTGTCTGCCTGTTCTGTCTTTTCTGTCCGTTCTATCTGTTCTGTCTGTTCTATCTGTTCTATCTGTTCTATGTGTTCTATCTGTTCTATCTGTTCTATCTGTTCTATCTATTCTGTCTGTGCTTCTGGACGACATATCCTATCCGAGCCGTCGCACTCATCTCACCCTTGCCTCTCCTTGCTCGCAGTGCTGAAGATGCTGGCTGCGATGGAACAGACCCCCAACACGAGCCGAGACCCCGTGGAGGACTTCCTGACGACGGGCCGGACGGGCCGGCGGAACGCCATGGCGGACATCCTGGGCCAGCACGCCAGCACGGGCAGCGGCGACCTGAGCGAGCGCATGGAGGGGCTGACCACCGAGCAGATGGGTGAGTGCAAGAAGGTGCAAGGGGCGATCACCCACCAAACTAGGGTGGGGTGATGTGACTGGATGTGACTTTACACGAATCCGTGGGCCAGAGGGAGATCTCAATACTGTACACACGCCACTAGTGGCAACCTAACCCCGAGGGGTGCCCGCGGGGCACCGCCGCCCCGAGGCCGCTCCCTAATACCAGACTGTGTTGCAGCTGCCGCGCCGTCAACCTCTGCGGCGGCCGCGGCCGGCCAGCCCGGGGCCACGGCCCCCGGAGCGACCGCCCCCTCGGACGCAGGCCCCTCGAAGGAGGCGGGGAGATGAGCGCGCCGCGGCACCGCCGCCCCCGCCGTTGTGTACGTCTGCGCGGACGCGCTGCCCCGGTATGCCAGCGGAGCCAGCGGTACCCGGAGCGGGCCCGGGCCGGTGCGACCCACCCGACTGGGACACCGGCCGCGGGGCCGAGGCCGCCGTCAGGGCCGGCGTCAGGGCCCCCGCCATGCTGGTGGCCGGGGGCTGGACAGCTGTTCAGCGCACTCATTACGAACATTTCGTGACGACTCTGAACACCACCTCGGTTGCAGCAGCAGCAGCTCTTCCCCTCTCCGCCTCACCGTCTGCGGCTCTGGTATCGGACGAAGGGAATAGCCCCTAGTGCTATCAAATATCAAATCTGCAAAATGGAATTTCAGATTTTGAACACCGTTGTGAAGTTTGATTTGTTTCGGCCGGGCTGGACTGGAGCTGGGTCCTCGAGCCGCGCTTCGTCTCTCCGAAGCGCGATCTCGGTCGTCAGGCGCGGGTTCGAAGCCACACGTTGACTGACATGGGTTTTTGTTTTGTGGGCCTGTAGTGTTGCGCACTTTGGCGGCGCGTGCCGCGCACGTGTAAGCAAAGCATGTTGTTTAGCTAGTACAGTACTTGTCTCGCACGCTCGCACACTAGTCGAGTTGACTTGAAGAAGACCACGGGTGCGTGCGGCTTTCGGACGGATATTACCTATTTGCGTGGAATATTTCGAACAGCGCGGGGTTTTCTGCTCGGCCGTCAGAACATAGGGCCGTTCTGATGGCTCGGCAGGCGTCACTACTGTTACTTCGCCTGCTGCAAAGTGTCGCCGCGGCTTCAAGCTCGGTGGAAGTTTTTGTAACAGCTCTATCTTCGCCGTCTGAAATCTGCGCTTACCTGTGAACGCTCTTGTTTGTAACTGAAACCTGTTTTTGTACCTCGTCGTATTTCCCAAATCCCCAGTGATATTACGTAATCTCGCGTCACTCTTCTCTATGACATTGTGGCTGCTTAGTGGTAGAACTCGGATGGACTGTGATTGTTTATAACTGATTATTAAGTAGTACTTCGTTTTTCTTTTGTTTTTTTATTGCCTTAAATGTGTCGCATGCGCAAACAACCATGTCGTGGTCAGCACGCGGCAGAATATCACTGAGATTATATAGTCAATGTTAACAGTCTGATTTTTTTAAACATTTCTTTAGCGACAAAAATGTCACTATCCTTGCCATGTAGAGTTTACCGTATTCCAGTTTTTCTTAGGGATAGAGTGTACCGTGGGCCATCTATACAATGAGTGACTTTGCTTTTACTCTCTTGACTGTTGCAATACTTAAACAACCCGGTGAAAAACCAAAAAAATTAAAAATAATAATAATTAAAAACGTTGTTAAAGATCTTCTTTTTTCTCTGATGTTACTTGTTGCTTTGAGAATTTTATGTGTGTGATTGTCAATTTATTATTCTGCAATACTAAGTCATGTTCTGAATAGGCGCCCCTCTCTCTAATCGTATTCCGATTACTAGCACATTGCTGTAACTATGTATCTGCTATAAATGTGGCTGGATCAAACAGACTAGAACAAAATACAAGTATATTTTTTCATTATTTTGTACAAAGGCTTATTATTGCCTGATCATTACAATTGGACAGTTTCTTTTTAAAACCTTTAATGACTATGCAACTTGCCAATTTTCTGGACCTTGATCTGTGAATAGCTTCAATACAGAATTGCTAAGCAAAATAATATAAGTTTAAGCTTTTTTGATTAGTTGAGTGGAGAGAGGGAAAAAGCGATGATTTTGTAAATCCGGACAGAGAACAATAAATACATAATGGAATTATACATCACCTAAGCCAATCCTGTATTTCTAGAGTTTTATGGGCCAGTCACTATAAATGTTATAGTAAAAGTATTTAATTATGATGAGTGTTGAATCGGAGGCCGAGACTACATTGTGTTAGTGATCATGAAAAATTGTGAAACATGTTTTGTAATTGTATTTAAATGCATATGTACTAAACAATAAAAAGTTCATTGTATTATAGTTGTGGCGTTTCTTTCCGGGGGAGGAAATGTGGACACCCAGCAAAATTGTCACACTCAACAACTGTTACTTTAAAACAATAACAGATCCGACGCACCATCCGCAGACCTGGATGTCAAAGACTACATATATAATGATCTTCGGTGAAGGTCCGGTAAAAAAAAGCAACAAAAAACAGTCGGTGATCTCACGTCACTTCAGTCGTCAACAGGCCTTCGCCCTGTTTCACTTTTTCCCGCCTTCGGAATAACTGAACCCCCGGTACCGGTAAAACATCATCATAGTAATTGTGGCTCATTAACAACCCAAAAATACTCGACATTCGAGAAAGCAGACAATTTTAACCTTGCATGCCGTGCTGGTTGCCTACCAACACATAGTCTCCCCCCTAGTCTCGTGTCCAGCTGGGGGCACGGGCCAGCGGCAGCAAGTAGTGTACTTTTTTGGAGATGCCCGTCGCAGACATGGTACAGTAATCCGATTATTACCCGATATTGGGGTAAGGTGCGTCCGCGGGGTGAGAGGACCACCACCACAGTAATAGGAACGCCCTTTCGCTGCTACTTCCCACTCAGCATCCCCGTGAGCTAGTAAGTGAGGCCCAAACACGAGATCAACATTAAGAGGCGAGGCGTGTTGTTGTCGACGCTTATCACTTTCCAGCCGGGACGTCCTGGACCATGCTCGAGACCATGCCCCTTTCTCCGAAAACTCAATTTTCGATGAAAAATTCTTGGTAGACACGGGCCAAGCTGACCGCCA